TTTTTTTTTTTTTTTTTTGCACAATTTGAAAGTAAATTGGAGACATCACGCCCCTTTACACCCAAATATTTCAGTAATAAAATATTTCTTAAGAACAAGGACATTCTCTTACATACCATTATAAATTTATCAAACCCAAGAAAGTTAACAATGATACACATACTATTATCTAATCCACAGTCCATATTCAAATTTAGTCAACTGTCCCAATAATGTCCTTCAGCTATTTTTTCCCAGTTCAGGATCTCATCCATGATCATACACACTGCATTTAACTGTCATATCTCTTTTAGTCTTCCATTAACCTGAATAGCCTCTTTGTCCTTCTTGACTGGGACAGTTTTGAAAAGCCCAGGTGAGTTACCTTGTAGAATGCTCCTCAATTTGGATTAGCCTGATGTTTGTGATTAGATTCAGATGATGCATTTTCAGCAGGAATACCACAGACGTGACACTGTGTCTTTCTTAGTGTATTTAATACCAGAAGCACATGATGTTGGGTTGTCCCAATATTATTTGGTTAAGGTGGTCTCAGCCTGATTCTCCACTGTAAAGCTACTATTTTTTCCTCTGAAGTTATTAAGTATTTTGTGAAGAGATACTTTGAGACTATACAAATATCCTGTTCCTTATTTAACTTTCACCCAGTTTTAGCACTGATTAGACTTTCCAGCACTATCATTTCTTCTGTATTTATTAGTTGGCATTCCACTGTAAAGAATAACTTTCCTTTCTCCTCCATTTAATACTCCTTTATTTATATCAGTATAGACTAATAAGTTTTCTTTCATTTCAATGGGTTATGACCCACTATTATCAGTATTTATTTCAATGCTAAAATTGTCCTACATTTAACTAGTTTGACCCCTTCAAGTGGATGCCTATGTCCTGTGTTGTTTTCTGGCACAACATCTTCTTGTACCAGAAGTACTAAAAAAAAAAAAGAATTATTTGGGCACTTCCATCTTTCTGGTACAAGCAGATGGTCCAGACTCATCTTTTACTTTCCCTGCCCCAGCCCTGGAACAGCTTTTTCAGTAAGAAGCCCTTGATCCTTTCAGTGGAGAATGGTATTTAGAAACCAAGATCTGGGTGCTAGGTCCCATTGCCGTTGAGTTGATTCTGACTCATAGCAACCCTATAGGACAGAGTAGAACGGCCCCATAGGGTTTCCAAGGAGCAGCTGGTGGATTCAGAGCTGGTATGTATGTGTATGTGAGTTATGTGTGTATATGTACATCCACATACAAACACTCTTATTTATCTACCAAGCTATCAATCATAAACTATTAACTCATATTGATACGTTTAATTCCATTCTAACACTACAGGGCACAACTTAGTCTTTCCCCTTACATACTTGTAACTTTAAACAGTGAGAATCGTTTTCCATTAACCTCAGTATATATATTCATTTGCTCATGTTTAGAGTACACAAAAAATAATTTCAGAATTGTTAATTCATATCTCTGGAAAAAACAAATATACTAACTAGAGCTCAATATTTGTTAGTCTTTTGAAAGTAAAATATACATACAGTGAAATGCATAAATCTAGCATACAGTTCAATGAGTTTTGAAAATATATATACCTTAGTAAACCATATCGCTATCAAGATATAAAACACTTCCATCACCCCTGAAAGTTCCTTTGTACTCCTCTACAGCTAATTTCCATAATATTTTTTCACCATAGATTTGTTTGGACTGTGCTAGAACTTCATATAAATGGTATCACCAGAATATACTCTGTGTCCAGCTTTTTTAGCACAGCATAATCTTGGGGAAGATTCATATACATTGTTATATTTATCAGTAGTTTCTTTTTATTGCTGAGTATGAAATACTATTGAGCAATAATAAAATTTAAAAAATATATTATTACACATTTATAATATTATTGTAATAATACACACAATTTATTGTATATAATAATATTGTGTGCATAATAATACAAATAATACCACAATTTATTTATTCATTCCTTTGTTGATAAACACTTAGGCTTTTTTCAGTTTTTGGATATTATGAATAAATCTGCTATGAACATTCTTGTATGTGTTTTGTTTAGATATATACTTTCATTTCTCTTGGGTAAATATCTCAGAGTAGAATTGCTGCATCATAGGGTAGGTTTATATGTTCCTGTATAAGAAAATGCCAAAACTTTTCCCAAAGTTGTTGTATCTTTTTTATTCTATCAATATATGAAAGTTCCAGTTGTTCCACTTCATCACCAGCATTTGTACTGCCAGTATTTTTAATTTTAGCCATTGGATTGGGTATGTAGTGGTATCTCATTGTGGTTTCATTTTGCATTTCCCAGTGACCAATGTTAGGCAATTGTATATCTTTCTTGGAAAAGCATCTGCTCAAGTCTTTTGCCCATTTTTAATTGGGCTGTGTTTTTATTGCTGATCTGTAGTTTAGTATATATTCCGGATAGAAGACCTTTGTTGTCTTATATCCATTGTGTATAGCCAGACTCCAAGATGACCTCAATGATGCTTGCCTGCTGGTATTTATGTCTTCCTGTAGTCCCACTCCTCCCCCT